TTTTTTTTTTTTTTTTTTTCATTTCATTTTCTGAATCTTTGGATTGCAGGCACTCCTTGTATTCATTCTTTATGTTAGATGTACTGCAATTAATCCTGCCGACCCTGGTATTATGTCCAAATTTGATAATCGGAAAAAAAACCCCAACAATAATCAAGGTTTATCATTGAAGAGTTTACCACAAAATTTAGATGAAATGGTCAACAGTAGACATTCTTTCGCATCATCAGCTTCCAGAAGTTCCATATCAGGACCTAATATGAGTAGGAATGGATCTGTAGGAGAAATTGGTAGAGTAGACAATCCAATGGAACAACCAACAGTCCGTAGTGCTGATAATATTGCACTAGTTTGTTGTGCATTATTTGTACATGAAGATTGTCGAAAAAGGGATGGAACAGCTGACCCTCTAAGTGCTGCCGAGGATGCTTTATTCTGCACGTTGTGCAATGCTGAGGTATTTGGTTTGGATGCCTCCATGCATTATCTTTGTTCCCAACTAAAAATATGTATAGAATTTTAGTTGGTCAGAACGGTGAATGTTAATATTTTGCTTTACTTGTACATGTTTTCCTTCATGCATTTAGTAGTAGTTTTATATAATCATGCAACATGGTCAAGGTTTTGAAACTTGTTCATTAGAGTATAATTTTAAAAGATTTTTTTTTTTTATTTTTCACATTGACGTTTGTTCATTATTTTCTCCTTATCAAGTTTGTTCTGAATCTTTATTGAATGATAAGAACAATACTTTTCCTGGAGACTCGTGATTATTTATTAGCGACAATGATGTATAGGCCATTTAGTTTGAGATGTAAACTGCCAACCAAGTATCAGTCTACTGGATACAGCTATATCTTTACCGATATCAGAAAAACCTTTCCTTGTTTCTAATGTAGCAACCATCATTTTTATTATAATTTCATAATATCAGTCTAAGGCATCATAAAACTTTTGGTCTTCAGATTCGTCGTCTTCTTCTTCTTCTTCTTCTTCTTCTTCTTAATAGATGGGGGAATTGATGTAATA